AAGTGGTTGAGTCACCATCCCTGGAGGTATTTAAAAGATGGGTAGATGAGGCGCTTAGGGACGTGGTTTAGTGGGCATGGTGGTGTTGAGTTGGCGGTTGGACTCGATGATCTTAGAGGTCTCTTCCAACCTTAATGATTCTATGATTCTATGATTCTAATTTCCATGGTGGAGTCCACCACCGCTTGTTTCTCTGCTGCCAGTCTCCAAAATCACCCAAAATCCTAGCTTCTGGGGGCTAATTTAGGATACGCTTTCCCCATTGGAGCCTGCCTCTAGGGGCCAAAATGCGAAGGAACAGACATAGCTACCGTGAAGCCGATGGTGATGCCCAGGAGCATGGAGACAAAGTCCATGTGCTTCTTCAGGAAGTCCTGGATCTCTCGCAGGCAGTCCTGGGAGGAGAGAGACATCCCTTGCAGCACAGCAGCAGCTCGGTGGGGGGCTTCATCCCCCCAACAGCACTTGCCACAACCCCAGATAGAAAGGGAGGCAAGAAGGGGATGCAACATTGCACAGCTGGGCTGCTCCGTGGGCAGCTCTCCTTTTTTCTACTGCTTGCTGCAATTTGGGAAGACAAACACCTGTGGTACATTTTCTATTACTACAATATGCCTACGATTTTCTTGGTGTGATGCGTTTTGGACTGTGGGGGATGTGTGTGAGCACAGGTAAGTGGGGTCATGCACAAACTTTCTTCTTTCCACCCACTGGAAAATGGAAAGAGGGAAATGAAAAGGTGGAAAAGCAGAGCACACCATAATGATAAATACGTTCCCCAAAGATACTAATGAACAGCTCAGTTTTGCAAGGTGTCGCAAGCATTAATATACATTAGCCTTAAGCATGCCAGCAGCCCCACAGAAATCCAGGAGGTGTTAGCCAAGAGAGCCATTTCAACAATGCAAGAGCATGCCCTTGATAAAGTGATTTGCAGGGTGAGGTAAGAGTGCTCAAAGCCAGAGACTGAATGTACTGCAGCTACCAAACTGTGGTTCCCCAGGTTGCAAAATTCATCCTCCCACCCACCTCCCCCGGCTCGCCACCAGAGGAAACGCAAACCATTAGCCTGGGGGGAACAGAGTCACCCCCACGGTGCCTGGTTTTGCTCTGCTCTGCCTTCCTGCTCTTTGAGCCAAGTTCGACCCTGCTTCAAGATGTGACGAGCTGCGCATCACGGCATCCTGTTAGCGCTTGACATCTTCACCTAACAACAATGTTTTTGTATAGCTGTAGCAACATGGTTTTGTTTTTCCTAGGGACAACATACATATTGATGCTGGCGGCTTTAGCTGCTTCAGCGGATTTGGCTACTCCAGTGGAAGAAAAATAATCATACAATAGATTTGCTCAGAGAGTATGAAGTCTATGTTGCAGCTTCAGCACAGAGGCAGTCTAATACCGGTGGCTTCTCCATCAGCCTCACTGAGATGCTGCAAAGAGGAGGAATGAAGTGTACTTGATGAAGCTACTGCTGGGCATCATCATCCTGCTTCGTAAGTCTCTCATTTAAATACCTATTTAATGCCCTGGGAAAAAGGAATTAACAGCAAATTCCACATTTGCTGTTAGTGGGACGCTTTTTAAGCCTCAGAAACTAGTGTCACATGGAAAAGTCCAACAGTTTTTTTGAGCTCAGACATATGCCTGTGATATGATATGAGTATGATATCTCATACTCTCTGCAGAGGTAGGAGATGAGAAGGAAGCTGGAGGGAAATGACAGGCTGCAAACACAAGCATTCCGAAGGCTTTCTAGAGCTGCGAAGGAAACCACATCTGCACATCTGAGACCTGCTGATCCACCGGGGCTCCTCCAGTGGGTGAGACGCCTCCTTATTGAGACAACAAAACCCCAACAAAACAAACCCCAATCCATAGCAACACCAAACCATGAAAAAGCCACAATTCTCATTAACGCTTAAACACCAGTGAGGTTTTAACAGTTAGCGAGTAGCAGCACAACCCCACTGTGGGGTGGAAGAAACCTTTCCCTTACCTGTCCCGCATCACGCACTTGGCCAGATGGGCACGTCTTGCGCTCGACGTTGTCCGTGTCCCCAAATGGAGAGCGCTTCCCGCAGCACAGAAACTGGAAGAGAGGGAGAGGTCTGCCAGCTGCCTGCTGGGCTCTCCCCTCGCCACCAACTGCTGTGGCAGGAGGTGTCAGCGATGGGCCACCCTTCCTCCCTTGCTGCCCCAGGCAGGGCTATACAACCAGGGCTGCAAGGAGCGAAGCAAGTAGGTATGCAATCAACAACTGTAGCAATGGAGGTTAAATTCAGAGGAGGTGGATGGATCTGGCCCCAAACTTTTCTGTGCTCCTCCAGGACTGCTGCCTGGGGCTGGGGCCAAGCCCTCCCTCCATGGTCACACCAGCTCTCACAGTGGCTGCTCTGGAAAACCCAGGGATGCACAGACTCATGTTTCCAGTGCTTGCTATGGGCTGGGGGGGGGTCCCCAGCAACACCCACTGTGGAGCTGGTTTCCTATAGCCAGGGTGAACTGGCCAGCTTGGAGCTCTAGCAGAAGGGGAAGAAAAAAAAAAGGAGTAGAAGGACTGTTTCTCCATCAATTAAAGTGGCTAAAATAAGCAACTGATGAAGCTGGGTATTGTGTCTGGTTCTCCTTGCCAAGGGGGACTCTGGGTGTGCTGCTCCACAGCCCTGCAGAGCAAGCACCACCACACCTGGTCATGGCTCTGAGGGCCACCACCATTGTTGCAATGAGACACATTTGCCCCTTTCTGTGTTTTGAGAAGCACAGATGAAAACAGCTTTGGAAAGCTTTGAAGATCTCACACCAGAGTGATGGTCAGGTAGGTGGCCCTTTCCTCCTGGGGAAACCTTCCCCCTCCCAACCTGGTTGGTCAAACCTGGGAAAGGAAGAGTAGGAAGGGAGGAGCAGACTTCACAGCAGGCTGGAGGACTCGGTTCCCAAGGGAAAATGGCATTGCAGCATCCACAAGGCAGAGCACAGGCATCAGTCCCAGCCTGCTGAAACTATTGGGAAGATACCCCAGGACAAGGTTTTCTGCTAAGGCTGAAAGACAACTTACTGCTTCGTGGATGGCAGTCAGCTCGTGCCTCCTGAAGCTGGAGGCGTTCCTCCTCACCTCCTCGTACACAAGATCATACACATCCATCATGCTGTTTTCCACCTGTGATGAAAGCAGAGATGTGTACATGGAAAACACTGACTGCAGTCATCTCTGGAGGGAAATATGCTCCTCTCACATCCCCCCAGAAGGTCTCCCAGGTATAGCAAGACAAGTAGTGCAGCTAATTAAATGACCACCATGTGGCAGCAGCAGCTGGTGTACGACCCACCATGCACCAAGGGGCACCTACAGCATGGCGAGTCTCATGAGAGAGGCTGTGATGCTGCAGGTGTACCACCTTCTGCTACGCGTGGACCCTTTGGCATCACGTCAGCGTCTTACCAGCTGATGGCTGGAGCTTTTGGCCAGTTTTGGATTTAAGGTCAGAGATGAACTCTGGTGCCTGTGACTAGTGTGCTTCCAAGTCCCTCTGCCAAGCAGGGATGACACTGTCTCCCTGTCCCGATGGGTGACTGTGAGGACAGGCATACATGACTGTGAGATGCTAAAATAAAAAGGTGAGAGGACCTTAGATGGCTGGCGTTATCCCAGTGGTGGAGGAGTTCCTCCAAATAGAGCCAAAAAAATAACAGAGTGATTCAGTGGTGAATCAGACGCTAAATATTTACCAAATGTGTGAGAACTCGCAGCTTGGCAGATCCCAGCCAACTCCCGCTTGGGTTTCAAAGGGAAAAAAAAATGACAATTGCCTTCAGCACCTGGAGTCAAAACCTTATTTCTTCCTTTTGTTTTCCTTCACTTCCTCACCAGCATCGATCCGAGAGGGCCTGCAGGCACCGTTTGGCTTTCAAGAGGTAAAAATCGATCGGCAAGACAGACAGAGAGGGTGGCCGCGCAGGGAGGGACGGGCGGTCCGGGAGCAGAGCCATCTCTCAGTGAGGCTTTTCAGCTCAGTCTTAAGGGGCTGTGCTTGGAAATTACTCTAGGGGAAAAAAACCCAACGCCGTGTGCTTGGGGGTGAAACCAGGGTCATTCGAGGTGATTACAGCCATCACTGCAATATTGCTGTACCCCGCCTGGCTGTCCAAAATGCAAGCAACTAATGGAGGTTGATAACCAGGGAGGGGAGAGAGGGAGGTTGAGAAGATTACTTGTATCCGACTTGGCTCCGTGCCACCAGGAACAGAGTTTAAAGGCTCACATCGGAAGATTTTCCGCAGCTATCAACATGGCATAGAAGTGGAGGGGCTTGGGGGTTTCTCTGCGTTTATCTGCAGCAGAGCTGCTGTCCCCCCAGGACATTCCATCACCTGTCATGGAGCAATCAGTAGGTGAGGCAGAGGCAACCCAGCTTTAATGAGAGAGGTCCGATGATGGACAGGGCACAGATATTCTGAGCCAAGGAAAAAATCCACTGTAGCAAGGTGCACGATGCTGAGCTGCCCCACACAGGTGAGGAGGAAGGATGCTCATTCTGTCACCCCCGTGTATCAGAGTGCACCGAGTGGGATGGGCACAGCAGTAAGACAAGATCTCTAGCAGACTTGTGCACCATCCTTCCCCTAAACAAACCTTAAACCACAATAAAAAGGAAAACATCCAAGCTTTTCTAACTTCTTGTGGGCCATGAAATAGCTTTCCAGCAGCAGCAATTAAGTAAATGGATTCAATAAAAAAAGTGTCCATTTCCACTGAAGAATTGGATTAAGAATAATGAAAAAAGAATAATCTTTTGACCTCCTCTTGTGGTCTCGTGTTGCTGAGGAAGGAAGGAAGAACAGAGCAGCCGGCTTCTTAAACCAAGAGATTATTACCTTTTGAATATCCCAACCCCTGTCTAAGATGAAGGAATAAAAACTATTTTGTGTTGTGACAGCATATATATGGATCTTGGTAAGGCAATGGTGCTGCACATGCTATTTTTGCCTTTTCATATTTATCATTAGGCTCAGGATGCTGAGCTTCCCTCCAAAAGGCCTAAATTTTGATGACTTAAAAAAAAAAAAAATAAAAAGGGGTTCAAGCAAGTTGCTAGGTTCAAGCTAGGATTCAAGTGTTGAAAACAATCCAGAAGTTTAACATTAAAGTTCTACTGAACACTGGGCCAGGAAATGCTGGGACAGGTAGTTTTAAGCCCTCTGCCCGCCTGGGCACATTCCCCCAAACCTCACAAAAACCGGCAAAAATGCTCCTGTGATCTGGCTGCTTACTTTACAACTGTATTCAACTTAAACCAAGGTAACATGAGACTTTGTCCAGTGACGTTTCATCTGCAAAGGCCATCACAGGCTCCCTAGCAGTAGAGCAGGCTCTGACCATGCCACCAGAACCAATTCACTATGCAGGAAAGTCAATGCTCAAGTGTTTTGTCCTGCTAATAAGCCTCAGGGCCCAACTGAGGCTGACGTCCTCCTCAGCAGCTTCTCAGGTTGTCATGCTACACTAAGCAACCTGGGAGGAGGGCAGGTGAGCTGCCCAGATGTTGGCAGCTGCTGGCCGCTGCCCATAGCCTGTGGCACCTGCCACACTGGCAAGCTCCTGCTGGCTGTGTGAAATCATGAGAGGATCGATTTGGCCAGGAGAGGTCCTGCCTGAAGCAGTGGTGCACATTTGCACCTTCCTCATTGTTTGAGGTACCATGCAATGACATTAAACATTGAGACTAAGGCTGTTTGAAGGAAAAGAGTGGCTAGGAAAGAATTGAAGGAACAAGATTGTCATAACAAAGCTATGGCAGAAAATTATTCCAACTGTTGGAAACAATAAGGGAAGAAACCACGAGCAGTCGTCGTTTCACAGCCAGCTCCACTACAGTGATGGTTATGGTGATAAGGGTAATCTCCAGGTATATAATGACTAAAGGCCTTTGTCATGGTTTAACCCCAGTCAGCAATAAAGCACCACACAGCTGCTCGCTCACCCTCCCTCCCCGCAGTGGGACGGGGCAGAGAATTGTAAGAGCAAAAGTAAGGAAACTCGTGGGTGGAGATAAGAACAGTTTAATACTTAAAATAATAAAATAATAATAATAATAATACATTGTAATGGAAAGTAAAATGAGAGAGAAAAACAAAAACCCGGGGAAAGGGAAAAAAAAAAAGTGATGCAACCATTCACTACTCACCTACCAATGCCCAGTCAGCCCCTGAGCAGCAATTTCTGCCCCCCCAGCCAACTCCCCCCAGCTTATATACTGAGGATGATGTCACATGGTATGGAATATCCCTCTGGCCAGTTTGGGTCAGCTGTCCTGGCTATTCTCCCTCCCAGCTTCTTGTGCACCTCCTCGCTGGCAGAGTATGGGAAGCTGAAAAGTCCTTGACTTAGTATAAACACTGCTTAGCAACAACAAAGACATCAGTGTGTTATCACATTATTCTCATGCTAAATCCAAAACACAGCACTATACCAGCTACTAGGAAGAAAATTAACTCTATTCCAGCCGAAACCAGGACGCTACTAAAGACTTCAATTGCACCCTGTTTCTGAGCTTGCTTGTGAGCTGGCTTCTCAGTTATTTACTGATTTTTTTCATTTTGTCAAGCAGCCTCCAAGAACTGAAAGCACAAAGGATTAAGTGTAAAATGTTTTATAGCAATAATTTCCTTTTAAAATGTGTGTCTGGGCAAGCCTAAGAGTACAATTTGCTGATTAGTCATTCTCAGCATTTCTATCTAGCAATGATATCTAGCATTTATATCCAGGTATTATCTGAATACGCTACTCAGGTCCTGGTAAGGGAATATCAAACTACAAAACCATTTTGTAGAATGAATTGACTGTAGTTCCTCCACTTCATCTTTCTGATTTTTTCTAGGATCATTTGATTTTGGAGAGGAAAATTGTTGTCTTCATACAACGTGCTGGTCTGTTTTCAAAGGTTACTGCAGAGAGCTTTCTCATTTAAATATTTCAGAGGTAGGTATAAAGTATGAAATCTCAGTATTTATCACTGGCTGTTTCCTTCTGTGCAGGAGATCGTGCCACAGAGTGTACGAGAGGTCTGGTTTAACAAGGAGACATACAAGAGCAAAAAAGATTACACTAATGAACCATCATCTTAGCAACTTTTCTGTCTGGGATGGGGTTATGTTTATACTCAGAGCTGCAGCCGAGCTCTGAAGCACTGGTCACAAATGGCAGCATCTATCCAGCCCAAAATGGCATGCTAACTCATGTATAGCTAATGATGTAAAAAATAAAACCTGAAAGCATGAGACAAAGTCACCACGTGGTTTCATGACCTATCTTTATTTGCAACATTATTTTATCCAGCAGATGCAAGTTGATCCCTGCATTTTCCTTTGATCTGGGACATAACACAGTGAAGAGCTAGTCTGCAGCACTGCTTTGTGCCATCCTCAACATATTCCCATCCCGCCCTGCACTGATGGGCAATTTTCAGTCCATTGCCTCAAAATAATTATCTTTTTCCATTTCTTACATCAGGTGTTGGAGAAAAAAAATATTAAAAATAATCAGGGTGCTTTCTCTCACGGTTAAGCAACAGGATGCCTTTCGAGTTTGAGTGGTTATGCTGATAGTGTTAGTAACATGCTTTAAGAAAACCACAACTGTGCCCCATCCCTTAACTCAGACAGTAGTTAGCATGTAATGGACCAATACAGCTGGAGAAGAGAAAGTCTGTGTGGGCTTCTTTTTGAAAGGTCCTACACTCCCCCGCACATTAGCATCGTTATGGTCAAGTGGATTTTCCTGTTCCTAGTGACGTGCTGTGACCTACTGCTGGAGGAGTACTTCTGGATGAAGCTTTCCCTTGGAAGGAGACTGTGCCTGCAATGCTCATCAATAAAAAACACCGACAGCTGAAGATGAAGCATCAGCTTAGCTTTGGCTTAAGAAAAATCTCCAGGTTAAGTGATATGGAGGTCACACCTTACAGTCATTCTTTTCCTGGAAGATGCTGGGTGAAATGTTCCAGCTCTAAATTAGTCAAATAATTGCCGCCTCCCATTTCTGTCTGCATTCCTTAATGAAACATTCATTTAGGGATGATATTGATGGGTTGTTGGATACAACAAATGGAAAATCACCACTGAGACTGATGTGGCTGACTCCAGCTGACTCAATAGAGTAGC